TAATAATATTATATAATATTATTTTAATATTTTTTTATATTTTTTATGACTTTAGAGAATTAAATGATTCAAAAATTACATCAGTTATACAAGTATATGGTCAAAACATTATTGTTACTTGTGAATCTATTCAACATACTTTTACATATGATCATTGTTTTATGTCACATGTGGATATATCACAGCCTGATTATGCTAATCAAGAAATTGTTTTTAAAAATATGGTTCTACCATTGGTACAAAATGCTTTTGAAGGATATAATGTTTGTTTATTTGCTTATGGACAAACTGGTTCTGGTAAAAGTTATAGCATGATGGGTCAAGAATCTACTCAGATTACTGCATCATCATTTGATGAAGCAATTGGTATTATTCCAAGATTTTGTCAAGAAATATTTGCAAGAATATCTAATAATATGAACATTAAAACTACAGTAGAAATTAGTTATTTTGAAATTTATAATGAGAAAATACATGATCTTTTAACAAATGTTAACAGTGGAGTAAAAAGAGCTCCTCTTAAAGTTAGAGAACATCCTGTATTTGGTCCATATATTGTTGATTTAAGTCAACATTGTGTACAAAACTATAAAGATTTACAAGTATATTTTTAATATATTATATATTAATATATATATAATAAATATGTTTATTTATAAATATATTTATTTTAGACTTGGCTGAAAGTAGGTAATTCACAAAGAGCTACAGCAGCAACTGGAATGAATGAAAAGAGTTCCAGATCACATAGTATATTTAGTATTATATTAACACAAACTCAAATAAATAATCAATTAGATAATGGAACTATAGATGCTAGTCGTCGAAGTAAAATTAATTTAGTAGATTTAGCAGGAAGTGAGAGATTAAGTCAAACTTGTGCAAGTGGTGATAGATTAAAGGTATTTTATATTATATTTAATTATTTAATTATTATTTAATAATTTTTTTTATAATATATCATTAATTGTACATTCTATAGGAAGGTGTATCTATTAATAAATCATTATTAACTTTGGGAAAAGTAATTGCATCTTTAGCTGAAAATACAAGTAATCGTAAACGAGGTTTTGTTCCATATCGTGAATCTGTTCTTACATGGCTATTAAAGGTAAGTACTATTAAATTATTAAAATAAAATTTTATGTAAATAAATAATATTTTTTATTAAATTTTCATTAACAAAATTTTTTATTTTAACAGTCTTTAAATATTACTATATATAGAATATCTATCATTTTTATTTAAATATAATGAAATATTTTTTAATGAAAAGATATTGAAATATTATGAAAAAATATTTTTTAAAAAATTATTATTTATAAGGATTATTTTTATATAGTATTAATAAAATTTTTTCTATAAAACTTATTGTATGAAAAATAAAAAGAATAGTCATAAATAAAAAGATGAATAGTATATGAAAAGTGAATAGTATATCACTTTGTATATTTCTTATTTTTCATATTATAAGTTACAATAAATTAAACTAATTTTTATTAAATTATTAAACTAAACAACTAAACAATTAATTAAACTAATTTTAACATAAATATATTTTAATATTTTTTTTATAAGAAATAATAAGTTACATCAATTAGTTAGCATTAAAAAATTATATGATTTCATTTAAAAAATTGAAATTAACTTTTATACAATTTATATGTTTATAGAAAAATTTATT